TGGCGTGGGCTGGTCCATGAGGTCACGAAGAGTCGGAGACGACTGAACGAATGAACAACAACAACAAAGTATTGGCATTAATATCATTTTGCTTGCTTACCCTTTCTGCCACGAATCTCACAGACTGCACACTAGTCCCGTATAGATTATCATTATACTGCCCAGCCTCTATGAATTTGTGCTCTTGGATGTCCTTTTCCATTTGTTCTCTGGAGATGACAAAATGGTAGTCTCTCCCGTCCACTTCATAGTCACGCTTGGGCCGTGTTGTATCTTTGGGCAATAAAAAAATGAAGAAAAGAAACATCTCTTTAAGTGTAGCAAGACAAAAACACAACCAAACGGCACACAGATATCTCCCCTTTCCTCTTATATTAGGCCCCATCTAAATGCCATATAATGCAGCTTGAAATTGCATTATATAGCCAACATTAGACTCGTATAATGAATTTAATTGAATTGAACTGCATGATATGAGGCTACACTGACCATATAATGCAATTTCAAATTTCATTATTGGCAGTGAAGATGGGCCCATGGCTTCTCTTTCTCAAATGACAATACAATAGTAGATGTAATGTATGCCAATAGTCCTTGTCCTTCTTGCTGTTTTTACCCTACTTCTCTAAACTTGAAAAAGTTACTTTTTCTACAACTTCCAGAAACTTGCAGTTTACATAGGGCTGACTAGAGAATCTTGGGAATTGTAGCCCGAAACTATTTCCCCAAGTTCAACTGCTAATATTACTATTATTAATGTATAACAAAAATATCACTGCTCATACCCAGAAGATAGAAATTAGTAGGTTTTGGCCAAACACCAAGTTTTGTAGGATCTTTTTAAAATCTCTTAGAACAGACCAATGAGGACAGATCATTTTCTGTCACAATGTCTGACAGCTGGGAGGGGGAAGATCATTTGGGGGGAACATTGCCCTTGGGGCACATACAAAGCTGTAGGGCAGTGGTGTCCAACCTTTGGCCCTCCAGGTGTTTTGGACTTCAGCTCCCAGAATTCCTGACAACTTGGCCAGGGTTTCTGGGAGATGGCCAAAGATTGGATACCACTGCTTTAGGTGGTATATGGGGAATTCAATTACATAGTGTGAACGGGCTCTGTGGGGCACTGGGTTCAGGGAGAACTCTTTCTGCAGCTCTTTAGGATTTTGGACCAACCTGTAGATCAGATATGTGCAAACTAAGGCTCACATGGTCCCCAAAGACTTCTACAACATGCAAAATTGCTATGTATGAAAATATCTCCACCCTCATAAACACCCTGAACCTTGTATTACTCACAAATACCCCCATTTTCCTCTGCATATTATTTCTGGTCAAAATTTTGAGAGGGACTATGGAGGAAAATTGAGGCTTTTGGGTTTGTGGTGACTAGTAGGGAAAATGTCCTCCCAACCCAATTGCTTTCTGCCATGTATGGAATGAACTTGGGAGTTTTTGGGTGAACTTAGAACTATAGCTCTTCCTCTAGAGATACACTGGCATGAAATTATATTTCAAAAAAGGATGGTAGTGTTTGAATGTTTCCTCATAAACAGAATACCAGATATGAGAGAGCATACTCCAGCAAACTGTACAAGAATAAGAAGAGTAGTGAAGAAGCTTCCAAAAATGTAATACTTACGTGGTACACAGGAGCCAAATTTGTCAGGAAATTCAGATATCAAATCATCATTGATCCGATCTTTCATTGGGCCGAGAATAATAACTGGTCTGGTGTAATTAACTGAAATGCAGGGGGAAAAGGGGAAACTCTTGGTTATGATGAAGTAGGTAATTTTTTAAGCATAGAAGAAATGTAATGTTTAGTAGAAATGAATCTATGAAATTAATTTTGAGTGTTACGAAGTGCACTGGGGATCATGTATATTCCAAAATTATAGTTAGGATGACACTGTAACAACAAGAGTTCAGTTTTATGGATTCCTGGGGCTTGCAGTATAAGGAGGGGCATTTCTCAGCCAGGGCATTCTATTTCTTCCTCAAACTATCAATCCCAGAATTCCAAAGGATGGAAACATGTCCATTAAAGTAGAATAATTCTCTAGCAGCTTACTTGTCTGAACGTATCTTCCTCTATGTTCTGCCTTGTAGTTTAAGATCCACTGGGGAGGCCCTGCTCTTGGTCCCATCAGCTTCGCAAATGCGTCTGGTGGGAACAAGGGACAGGGCCTTCTCTGTGGTGACCCCCCGCTTGTGGAATTCGCTCCCCAGCGAGATTAGATTGGTGTCCTCCCTTCTTATAAATAGCATGAATGAGTTCCAGGTCGCCACCCATATATATCAGTTTGAGGTGGAAATAGCACCTATTTTCTGCTGGTGAGTTACTCATCTGGCTGGCTATTGCATGAACAGAATTCTACCCTAAATATACCTTTGATCTGATCCAGCAGGGCTCTTATGTTCTTGGATTTCATTTTCTAACCCTAACCCTAAAACAAAATGAACTTTACACACAAACTGATCACTAGCTGGATAGCTCTGTTCCCCAAAGAAACTTGCCTGCATAGATCAAGTAATCATGAACCAAGTTGCATGTGCAGAAATTCCAGATGATACAGCACAGCTGTGAATAGCGCAGGGATTGGGTTGCTTAGTTTCAACTAGAATAGTCACATGCAACTAACTGTTGAATGAGGACCCAATATGTTGGTGGTCTCATGGATTGAATTGCTCTTCTCTAGCTGAGAATAATGCAAGGCACCAGACCAGGGGGTCTGGAATTCCTTCTAAACATGCCCTGAACTCATGATGGCTTGCAGATTTGCCTGAGGTGTCCAAATGACATTTTAGGCTCATTAGGATTAACCTAGAGAAATGTTTCTCAAACTGTGCTCCTCCAGATGTTTTGGACTTCAGCTCCCGCAATTCCTAAGAGATAGTAAGCTGGCTGGGATTTCTGGGAGCTGAAGTCCAAAACACCTAGAGGAGCACAGTTTTAGAAACATTCACCTAGAGTAAACCTGGTTTTCCAGGTTTATCTTGGGTTACAAAACACCTAAAAAGATCTGGACCTTCCAATAAGGTCTGGAGCTTTGCAAATGTTGGGCTTCTTGGGCTTGTGTTGGGCAAAACCACCTTCCTGAGAGCCACCTAGCCACTCCCCCCAACTAAAGTTGTGGAATTTGGACCCTCTGTGTGTCCTAAATCCCAAAATGAACCAGGATTTAAAATTCCTGTTCCTTTTGGAATTCAGGGCCTGTCTGGAAGGACCTTCAGTTTGATTCAGCAAAATAGTTCTTATATGGGACAAATTTCATTCAGATACTCCTTCACTTTATGGTCTTCTACTAAACACTTTGGAAAAAACAGCCCAAAATTCATTCATGCAGAGTCAAATGCAGTGAAATGCACCACCTTGGATGGTAGATGGGGATCACATTTTGTAGCTTGCCCAGTCCAGTAAATGACTCCCAAAGGGTTGTAAACATGGCAAAATTACCCTTGTGCCGTGTGTGTGTGTGTGTGTGTGTGTGTGTGTGTGTGTCTGAAGCCAGTTTTTCCCCAAATTTATTTGATGGGGAGACAGCTGTTCATGGTCCCCTGGACATCCACCATGTGACCCCTAATCCACAACAATTGTTCACTATACAAGTCAACTAGACTAGACTAAGCTTATTTGGCACAGAATCCAAGTCTGCTTACTTTCCTGTCTTGTTACAGGTTCATAGGAGAGAATGAAATCCTCTTGTCCTCCTGCAAAGAGAAGAGAAAACAAGACAATTAAACAGGACTCCTCAGATCTTACAAGGAAATAGCATTAAGCTCAGTGAGTATGCTCCAGCCTAAGACATTCCCCAAATCCTTTAGAATAATTCTTCACCAGTTTTAAATTCAGCTGTGGCAATGAAACCTCTTTGGGAATTACCAAGACTTGAGCCAGGACAAATAAAACAGAAAGTAATTGATTATATTTTTTTGTTCTGTTGCAACTATGAATTAGGGACCTTCTGAAATTCTACACCTTAAAGAAAAGACCAGCAGTGTGTAACAGTGTACCTGTTCGAATGTATCTCCTTCTATGTCCCACCTGGGAGTTTAAGATTTTCTGGGGAGGCCCTGCTCTCGGCCCTGCCTCTATCACAAGTGAGGCTGGTAGGGACGAGGGACAGGGCCTTCTCAGTGGTGGCCCCTTGCCTGTGGAACTCACTCCCCGGGGAAATTAGGTCATCAATATCCCTCCTCTCCTTCAGAAGGAAGCTGAAAACATGGATATGGGACCAGGCCTTTGGCTAATCTGGCAGACTGACAAGGTAATGACGACCAGAATTTGGAAAGGACTATGGTAATGCTGAATGGACTTATGGATTTTAGAGCTCGGTGAACGTTGGCCACTAGATTGGATTTTTAGTTGTTATTGTATTAATTGATTGTTTTAACTATTGTGGTTATTGTTGTTATGTATTTTATCTGTTGAATTGTTGGCATCAAATTGTGCCGGTTGTAAGCCGCCCTGAGTCCCCCCTTGGTGGTTGAGAAGGGCGGGGTAGAAGTGTCTGAAATAAATAAATAAATAAATAAATAAATAAATAAATAAATAAATAACAGATTGGCCTACCCTAAAGGGTTAGTGTGTAATGGGTTTCACTGCTCAACATAAACAACATTTTCTTCTCCAAATGCTATCTCAATTTCCCCAAACTAGTCATTAATCAGTGATGCACCCAATCTTTGCAATGCAGAAGATCTCCAATTTAGTTCCAGGGATATGTAATTAAAAGGATCAGATAACAAGCTATAGGGAAGGCAGAATTTTTAGTTCTACTTTTCCTGTGACCTTTTATAAAGCCCACATACTATACCTGGCTGTATATACATGCATAGCCCTTCTGGATTCACTGTTGTCTATTTTAATTGAGGCAGTGATGACCAATTGAGCAATTAGACTAAATCAACATAGGAATGAATGTGGAAGTGATGTTAATTGCTCGTTAAACAGGGGTTAATTGAAAGCTGTTCTATTAAAGGACATAATTGAAAGGAGGCTTAATGGAAGAACTTTGTATGTTCATGCATGTGTGTGTATAGCAATGTAATTGGAAGATGCCACTTTCCATTAAATGAGCTGCTACTTCACAGCTCATTACAACTAATAATCTAGATAATGTGATACATCCATATTGAAAGATATTCTTTCAAAAATAAAAGCCATTTTAGTTACAACAGCTGCTAAGACTGAAACCTTTAGAACTTTCTAATGCAGGAGAGAAGAATTTTAACTTTTTTTGGAGTGGGGAGGCTGGAATAATACCATTTTGAATTCTAGTATTTTCAGCTTAAGGAGGAGCATTGTTGGACGAATCTCTAAAAACCATGATTTGCATCTCCACTGAAAGATCTTAGGCAAGTCACACTCTCTCCGCCTCGGAGGAGGGCAATGGCAAACCTTTCAGGTGGCGGCGATGGCCAGGAGTGCCTTCGCACAGTCAAAACTTGTGTGTTGGGCTGCACTCGTTCGTACCTTGAGATGCCAGATTTGGCCATGTTAGTCCACACCTTAGTCACATCCCATTTGGATTATTGCAGTGCTCTCTATGTGGGGCTCCCTTTGAGGATAGTTTGGAAGCTGCAATAAGTGCAGAGATTGGCAGCCAGATAGCTAACTGGAGCACCATATTGTTAGAGGACGACTCCTATGCTGCAGTAGCTCAACAGGTTGCTGGTCTGCTTCCCGACTAAATACAAAGTACTGGTTGTAACCTATAAAGCCCTAAATGGTTTGGGTCCAGGCTATTTTACAAATCACATCTCTCTATACAGACTATCCAGTCATGATATAGAGAAATCCCATTGATTTAATGGGTCCCCTCTAGTTGGAAGCATCTAAGATTCCAGCCTTTGCATTCAAATCCTGGAGGAAAGGTGGGATATCAATAAAGCTATCTCATAGGCACAACAGTATGGTGATTTCCTGAAAAAACTATGGTCCAATGCATTACCTTGGCTGAAGGAGACAAAGAACTCACTTGCAAAGGACCCAGGCAGCAAACATTTTGCCACCTAGGTAGCATAGGATTTACATTTTTGTGTGCAAAAAAATAGAATGGAACGGTTTTGAAATTCAAATATTCACCTAGATGTTGTGGTGACAATACTGCATATGGCAGTGGTTCTCAACCTGTGGGTCCCCAGATGTTTTGGCCGTCAACTCCCAGAAATCCTAACAGCTGATAAACTGGCTGGATTTCTGAGAGTTGTAGGCCAAAACATCTGGGGACGCACAGGTTGAGAAGCACTGCCATATGGCAAGTTGTTGTTCAATGGTAGAATGACCTGATGTACTGTGGACAGTGCACCAATGTGCTTTGGGTGCTCTCCAATGTGCATCTGATGTTGGCTAGTTATGTGCACCAAAAGTGCTTGATGCACATGACAAGAACCCAGTGCACATCAAAAGTGCCCAAGGCTCATCAGATGTAGCAGTTATGCAACATAGACAATGCAACACAGTTATGCAATGTAGACTAGGTTGTATAATTATGGAGCCTGTTATTCACACAGGCCTCTGACATCTTGTTCGATTTTGATTAAAGAGATGTCTCGTACTTTTCCATAGATCTGTTCTTAATATGAATTTTTTTTGCTGTGTAATGTGGTTTGAATTTCATTTCTGAGAACCCACTTTAGAAAGAACATTTAGTGAAGAGCCTCTCCACTATCTTCACCAAATGTGACATTGATGCTGGTGGATCTTAGAGCAAATAGTACTCTGATTATCTTAGAATTCAGACAGGTTTGTATGGGGGTGATATAGTATTTTAGACAGCCTGGACCCAAGTGATGTAGAGCTTTAAATGTCACAACCTGCACTATGAAATCAGACTAGTTTCAGCGTGCTGGTTATACAATTTTTGGAAATATAGAAATTTTTAGATAAGACTCTGGCCTTAAATGGTAGCCATTTTTCTAAGGAGGCCTGCTTGTGCAATAAAATGCTGAGCAGTTGCCTTGCACTATTTTATGGATCTGTGTACTCCTAAAAGCTAGTAAGTGTCTCTTCCAATTTTTTAGATAGCCAATATGGAAGAGGATTGTTCAACCCAGCTTTAATCTGGACCATGTTTTATCAGATATGGTTATTTTTTTTAGTGTTTTATTAGATAGAATGAGAAAACACACTGGAGGGTAGATATTAGAGTGCAGCTGTTGCAGCCAGGTTGCCATTTTGTTGGAGACCAGAGTTTTATATAATACATGAGTTGCTCTACATCTGCTACACTTTTCTCCTGCTTTGGCATCACATTGAGCTTTTTTCAGTATCTTTGCACTCTGTACTCAAATGCAAGATACTTCACTTAGGCAGAAAAAAATGAAATGCAAAGATACAAAATGGGGGACAATGCCTGGCTCGAGAGCAGTACGTGTGAAAAAGATCTTGGAGCCCTCGTGGACAAGAAGAATAGACAAAGTGTTTCTACAGGCTTGGAGCCAACCCAGTATATGAGGGCACAGGGCATTTGGGTTAAAAGAGAAGTTGACTGGAAGGGTTTTTAAATTTTCCTCTAGGAATTGCTTGCCAGGAAATTCACATTAGTTGACGTGGTCCCAGTGAAACCTGTCAAAAATATCTTGTTTAGTTGAAAGAAAGTCAGGTTTATTACAGATAGCACAATTACCAGGGGGTATCAAAAGCCCATAACCATAAGGAATAAAATCCATGGTTACTTTGGCACCAGAAACGACAAGTGCCCCACAGTCAGTGTGCGCACACATGCTTGCACATATCTATATTCCACAAATGGCTTGAAGAACTTCAGCAAACAGCAGGAGAGAATTAGGAAGGATAGTAATTTTTCCTCTACACTTACTGAGTGTGTTCATAATGAGACTGTAAAACTTCTATCCATTTTGAATGTTCTCTTGATAGTTGCAGAAGAGTTGGATTTTACCCCAAACATTCTATCCTGTAACTAGAGATAGTTGTTGACTTCCATGTGAATCCACAGTTGATTTTAGTCTTGGGATTGCAAATATGATACTTGTAAGAAAATATCTCCCTCTATCCCCAAGGATCTTGCTTTGCAAGATGGACCCTGCTCTGTGTCCAACCAGTGGTGGGAACATGGGACATAGGAGATGATCTTCTCAAATGTGGCACCCCAGTTATGGCATACTCTCTCCTTGATCTGATTGGTGTGGACATTGAGTGCCTCTAGTCAGGCCCGTAGCTGGCGGGGGGGGGGGGGGGTAATTTTTTTCAGGGGGGGTTTCGGGGGGGCTGAGTTTCAGGGGGGGGGGGCTGAGTCTGAGTGAAAGAGGGTCTAGCCTAGCAAACCTTTTGTATCATTACCCCAATACCCCCATGCATATGGGATATATTGAGTATGGTGATCAGATCATGATATGAATAAACATAACAGTTTAAATAATGCACCGGTAAGGCCTTTTCGCGAACCACCATGAGAATTTCGGGGGGGGGGTCTGAAGCCCCCCAGCCCCCCCCCCCAAGCTACATGCGTGCCAAGTTAAGACATGGCATTTTATTAAAGTCCTTATATATAGTTGGTGGGAGTTTTTCAATATCAGAATGGCTTCTGCTCACATCTACATTTGGAAAGAGGTCCTGCTAGCTTAAACCAGTTTGGGAGAAAACAAAAATGTGTTTTTTAGAACTTGTATGAACTTTAGTTCTCTGGTTCTCCAGATGTTATGAACTTTACATCTTAGAACCTCTAACCATCCAGAATTGCCTTGCCAGTCCTGTGTCTTGGAGGATAAATCTGTGTTTTGTAATGCCCACAGCATCTCCTCCATCCCCTAACCAGTTTGATGCCCAAAGTGTGGGTGACACCATCAATGAGGTGAAGTTGTCTTCTGTGCATAGAATGGAAAGAGAGGAGGGTGCCACCTTCTTTTTTTTGTCTTTGGACAGCAAAATATATTGGGTCAACCCTGGGTGGAACCAACATGATGATAAAATGTCCTTTTTGATCAACTAAGCAGGACTCTTCTTTTGGTAGTCAAATGAGCCCTCAGAAGGAATGACTTTTAAATGCAGAATACCTGCAGATTTATTGAGAGAGGGAATTGAGACTCAAATTCTTTTGCTAGTCCTAACTAATGGTAGAACCATTGAATCAATAGCAGTTATATATGTGTTTATTCACCATGAAGCCACTGATTCAATGGATTTACTCTAGTTGGAACTAACCAACAGGTTTTTTTTGTCAGGGTTGTTCAAGAAAGATCACACCAAAATACATCAGAACTTCATTCTATATTCATGTATTCTGTATGAATTTCTATTTTCAGTCAGTTGTATCCATCAAGCCATTTGCTCCCATCACAATATATTATAGATATTTTGACCATTTGTGAAGCAAAGAGAAACAAAGGAAAGCAGAGAAAGAAAACTATCACGGGCAAGCCAAAGTAAAAAAAAAAGAAAAGACCCAAACAAAAGCCGTAACTTACTGTAGCTACTTTCGCTATCGCTGGCAAGAGAAGGAACATGTTCTGCAAGAACAGGACAGCAAATTAAAAGGACATAACCAAGCATCAGAATGTTAAGGAACCACCCGAGTCATGCAAAAGGTGGGTTGTGCAGAGTGGGGAAATCGAAAAGCAAGGCAGCCTGACAGTCTCAGGGAACTGATGAAGGGAAGGCCAAAAGTGTTATCACTTGTGGAGGAATTGAGAAGGAGCTGTATGCTCGGTGCCAAAAGTGTTTCCCAAAAACAAAACAAAAATCATCCTGATGCAAACTATCAGTGCAGGCCTGCAAGAGGATCTTATTCTTGAAAGTGGAAGCACTGTACTTTTGTGATCCACAGCCTACTATGACACTGCCAGTTTCTTGGATAGGTTCTTCTTCTCTTTTTTTTGGACTGCAACTCTCACTACCCATAAGAACCTGACTCGTAGAATTGCGAAGAACATAGAAAACAATCTAGTCCAGCCTCTTGCCAACCAAGGGAGTCATCGGTAAAGCACATGGAATTGGTGATTATCCAATCTTTTATAAAAATTCTACAGGGAGTCCACCCTTTACAAAATCTCTGGAGACTATTGGGATGTTTTCAGCATTCGCTTTTTGGAGGATAGCGATTTAAAAAATTCCATGGGATCCACTGTGAGGTAAGTGAATTTTCAAGCAGTGGATATTTGTCCAGAAAACAATTATCTATGTCACATGTGTCAAACGCAAGGGCCACAGGCCAAATCCACCCCACCACATCATTTTACGTGGCCTGTAAGGCTTTTAATGCCAGGACAATATTCTAACATTTATACAGTCTTACAATTATAAATGGCCTTTTGAAGGCAAATATCAGGCTGATGTGGCCCTCAGTGAAAATGAGTTTGACATCTCTGACCTATAGCATAAGGAAATTGATGTACTCTAGGAAATCCAGTGCTTCCATTTCATATGATAAGTCATCCATTATGGCTAATCACCTTTCCTTAGATATTTAGTTATGAGTAGGATTAATAGTGTGAAAACTGGAGGGACTTCCTGTATTTTTAACAGATGAGTGCAAAATGAAATTTTTGTAAGTGTTGCTTGTTAGTTGGTTGCAGGACATGCAACACCTTCTGAGATTCCCTGTTCTACACAAACGTTAAAGATACAGGACACATCTATGGTTTTTAGCCTGGCAATCCTAGTAGTGACTACTGAATAAAGAAAGAGTAGATGAGTCAGAGGCTAAAGGGCTTCAGTAATCTCTATGAGGCCTTGTAGAGTCTCACTTCTGGATGAGAACAATGTCATGATTCCATATGATTTTGCCATATGGAATGTTGCCATTAGGAATACATTTGGCACTGGATAACTGGACCTCTCAACACGTTCCACAAGAGATAACATACCTGCTTTTACAGGGAAAAGGAACCATTACAATGCGTTAACCGATGGGACAGGTTAGTCAGTGCTTAGCCAGAAGGGAAATCCAAAGAACTGCATCAAGTTCTTTCCATAAACACCCACTTTTGTAATTAAAAAGGCACATTCACAGCAATATGCAATCCAGTGGCAACAGTGGTGAATTCTGGTTTCATTTGGCCCAAGTTCATTCATGTCTTTTGTAAAAAGAACTGGAGAACTCTGAAGGAAAGCAAATAGCTGTTTTCCATGTTATGTGTAGCCATTGCAAGGTAAGAGTGATGCAAAGAAAGGCATGGCACATCAGCATATTGGATGATTTTGACATCAGCAGCAAGAAAGCTATGTCACTCTGCATAGTTCTCCTCCTGACTATACCAGTCCTGTATTTCTTAACAACCATTACACTGAGGTTGCATCATCTAGGTTATCTTATCTTGAAACTACCATTCCATTTATTAGTAATGCATGCTGGTGACTGCCAATTGCTTTTATATCTGACACAACATGAATCTATGAGAAGAATTAGATTCCCACAGGTTCATGGAGACCACTCATGGCTGTGGAAGCACAAAAGACAACATTTATTTTTGGGAAGGGTACCCCAAATGGACCACAACATTTTGGGTGGTTTGTTTGTGTCTTTTGCCCTCACATCTTCTGGAAACTCATTTAGGGATTTGTGTGGAAAACAATCCAAGACAGGATTGAACTCATAGTTCACTAAAGTTGAAGTGGACCCAAAATTGGATAGGAAAAAGAAGTGGAAACTCCCCCATAGGTCACTATCATGCACAATACCATGCACTTTAAAAACTATCTATTTTTTTTGTAAAAGAGGAAGTAATGTTAATATTGCTGAAAATATTGCTGAAAGATAAATGACCTAGGAATGGGGAGAGTCTGGCCTCAACATCCTTGGGGAAGATTTCTCTGACACGTTTCCCTTTAAGGTTGCCCAGGTTAGGTCAACAGGAGATCTAGGTATTTCGCCCAAGGTGAAGGTGTAAGATAAATGGCCTAGGAATGGGGAGAGTCTGGCCTCAACATCCTTGGGGAAGATTTCTCTGACACGTTTCCCTTTAAGGTTGCCCAGGTTAGGTCAACAGGAGATCTAGGTATTTTGCCCAAGGTGAAGGTGAAAGATAAATGGCCTAGGAATGGGGAGAGTCTGGCCTCAACATCCTTGGGGCAGATTTCTCTGACATGTTTCCCTTTAAGATTGCCCAGGTTAGGTCAACAGGGGCCCAGGTATTTTGTCCTAAGTAGCTCAGGAGTAGGCCAGGCAGGGACACTACTCAGCTTAGTTCATGACTCCTTTAGAAAGATATACAGTTTACAGATTTAATTAGGTAACAGTTAATAAAAGGTGCCCCTATTTCAACCCATAACCGTTGTGTGGTCTCTTCATTTTGGGGGTTGGCAGGCAAATGATCAGGAGCCATCCCAAAGCAGACTATCCTCTTCAGCAGATGTCTAGTGGGTCTGACTCATAAAAAGCTTGGCATTTGGGGGCAAGTTGTCCCTTTTCAACTGAGGAATCAAGTGATAAGCTTCTCAAGAACTTCTGGATGGATACCCAGAGAGCAGTTAAAGGAACACAGCTGTGTTTAAAAGCAAACCAACAAACAAAGCAAAAGTATTATAAAAGGATCCATAATGCATATTTTTTAGGAAAGAAAAGTGTTATTCATAGAAGGAAATGTATTTGTTTCATATGCTGTATGCTCTTATATTGTCATGCAAAAAAGATAAAGAAAGAAAGGAAAGGAAACCTTATTTTTTAAAATTTCCGAAGAGCATCCAAATCCGGGAGACAAAACCAAAATCTAATCTTGTGCATGCTAAGAGTGGCAGGTCCTAGGGTTGAAAAGTGATGTGGGGAAGGAACCAAAGCAAAAAGAAAAAAAACTAAATTAGAAAAAGGAACATAATAAATGTATTTCCAAACAAAGATAAGAAGAAAACAAAAGGGGGATCATAGTGACCATTCCTGGGAACTTACTCAGAGTCTTTGTTCCATAACCGTCGTCACCTAATCCGGGGATGTCCTGTACGGGAGTCCCCAGAGAGAAAGCAATGAAAGAAAGAAAAGAACAGCCGCAGAAGAGGAAGGAAGAAGTCAGTGGAATTGAAATGGATACTACCATGACTGACCATGTAGATCGTACAGTCTGGATTCCTGCTCTCTTTCAAAGCAACATTAGCTCTCCCCATCGCATCCCACCCATTCATAGCAGTCTGGATTCCTGCTCTCTTTCAAAGCAACATTAGCTCTCCCCATCGCATCCCACCCATTCACAGGCTACATTTAAGACGTAGGGAGGTTGATCTAATTTGGTTGAATGGAGAAAGCATGTGAGATTTTAAGAAAGCCATATAAATTTAGCTGAAAATGAAGACAAGTTGACTGCTAAACCAGGTTGGTAGTTTGTACTAGAGATGGTAAGAATTCCATCCCTCTTTGAAGCTGCATTTATGAAAAATGACCTCAGGAGTGGAAATCTCAGAATTTTATCATCACCTGGCTGTGGCAATCTCAAAATGGTAGGACTACCTATGCTTTAAAGCCAACTGATTGGATTAAATCAGGCCTGGGCAAACTTTGGCCCTCCAGGTGTCTTGGACTTCAACTCCCACAATTCCTAACTGTCTCACCCCCTTTCCTTTAACCCTCAGCTACTTAAGCTTAAGTGGCTGAGGGGCAAAAGGAAGGAGGTTGAGGCTGTTAGGAATTGTGGGAGTTGAAGTCCAAAACACCTGGAGGGCCAAAGCTACCCAGGCCTGAGTTAAATCCAATTGTTAATCCCAACTACAGTAGGGCCATTGACTCAATGGGACTTTCCTAAATGTGGACTCGGGTTAAGCCCCATTTATTCTATGGGTCTATTTTGTTTGGAATTGACCATTATATTTAGCCCATTGAATCGAAATGAAAGCCAAGGAACACTAAACATTAACCCCTTCTTTTAATGGATTCAATGGTTTAACCAGCAGCCATAAACTGCTAAAAATAGTATGAAACAGCAACTGAGTTATTTTACACAACAGCTCAATTGGCCAAAGCATTAAAATTCTTTAAAATTCTCCTAGGACATTGGAAAGATTTATTGGATTTTTAAGATTGATTTGCTATAAAATGCCCCTTCTCTCGTATTGTATCAATATAGGACCAAGAGAGACCTATGACTAAGAAATGATGAAAACCTTGAGCAGGTGTGGTGGAAGTAAAACCTATGGAAGTAAATATATGCCCCCCCCCAAATTTACCCCAAAGCCCTGTTGCATTTCCCTAGAGTGATTGGAGGCAATTGTCATTGGAACATGGCCCCAAATGACAGAAGATGACCTTTGAACGTGGTATTTTAGTTTTCTATCCCAACCAGCATTATAATTTTAGAAGGAAAAACTAAAAGGGGCAATCTGGAGTGACATAAAATAATTTTCAATACAATCTTATGCCCTTCATGTAGTTTTCCATAATGGTCTAGTAGCCCTTTAAAGACTTTAACATTTTAATGGGTCTAACCTTCTGTGGATTGTCCATCACTCTTTCAGTTGTTGCTATGGTAGACTAACAAATCAACCACCCTGGATGTGTCAACAGTAATAGCTTTTTCCTTAACCAAAATACAGGATGGATCCATTGAGCAAAGGCGAATAGGGCTGGAATATACATATGCAAATTTCAAGAATTGGTAGACATACTCTAAAAACTCTAGTGCTTTGTTTTCCCATCAAAATGACAATGCAAAAGGAATCCAGACTGCTATCATACATTGGTCACAGTAGTAATGCCTCAGCTGTCCTGACTCTGACTTTTGTTGCCTACGTGTGTGTTGTGTGTGTGGGAGGGCTACCAGTGTCATGCGCATCACCCGTGTACTGAACTGTGACATCATCTTGGAGCATTTACTTACGTTCGGGGTCACTCGTGTCCTGCTCATTCAGCTCCTTGTTCTTGTAGAATGGGAATTTTCGTGAAAAGATGAAGTTCTTTTTACGCTTGTCATTGAATGACTGTGAAGGAGAAAAGGCATGGGGCAAAAACAAGGACGTCTAATTGTTGTCACACTCATGCTGACAAAACAACTAGTTTGTAAAAGTGGGAAAGAACTGTAGTGACTCAGTCTAATTTTCAGATGGCCAGAAAAAGAAACATCCCTGAAGATTTGGTCAGGAATCTTATTGGTTAACCTCAACTAGAATGGATCCATCCAATCAATGGATGAATGATGAGTCAACACATCTGATGGCTTTAAGATTAAGGGATTCCATAAAACGAATTTGATAATCTGATTGAAATTGATTTTTCCCCATATTGAACAGGGAGTAAGTCCCAAAGAACACATCCAAGTAAGGATCTCTGGTTTAGTGGGCAGACTTTCAGTCCTATTTATGCATTTGAAGAACACGTGTGAACATAGAGTTGAGGAAACCAAAGGAATGTGAGTTCCATTGTGAATATCAATGGCTTTGTTCATTGGCTCACTCCTGACTATCTGTTCTATTTCATAATGTCTCAAATTGGGATTTTAATGGGTTGTTGTAGGTTTTTTCGGGCTATATGGCCATGTTCTAGAGGCATTCTCTCCTGACGTTTCGCCTGCCTCTATGGAAAGCATCCTCAGAGGTAGTGAGGTGGGCTTTTAATGCTATTGGGTTCACAGGAGCTTCCTCATTCTACTAGGGTTTTAGGGAATTTTAAGAAAATGTCTCCAATAAAGTGAGAAGTGAATTCACTTCAGTTTCTAAAGAAGTTACCCAAGCTCTTGATTCCCCAATTGGGATCAGGACCTTGGATAGTTCCATGAAATGTATTCAAGAGCCTGAGTGGATTCTTTACCCTCCTGATGGAGTTACCTGCTGTCTCAGCAGAAATACATAAAGAGGTCTACTTCTGACCTTAGAATTGGAGTTGAAGGGCAATTTAGTCCAACCTTCCGTTATGTAGGAATACACTATGTTTTCATTCAGTAGAAGGAAGCTAAGATACTTGGTGCAGATAAGCTCTATGCAATGTTGGTTGTTCCTGGAGATTGGTGGGATGGGAAAGGTTGTGGTGGAGCAGATAGGATTGCTCCATTGTTTTCTCCAGATTTATGCCCTCATGGGTTTTTCAAACATATGGTTCAGGTTTTGTGTGTGTCAGGAGCAACTTGAGAAACTGCAAGTCACTTCTGCTATGAGAAAATTGGTCGTCTGCAAGGACTTTGCCCAGGGGATGCCTGGATGGTTTTTTTTAATGTTTTACCATTGTTATGGGAGATAACAATGGTAAAACATAAAAAACCATCCAGGCATCCCCTGGGCAAAGTCCTTGCAGACAACCAATTTTCTCATAGCAGAAGTGACTTGCAGTTTCTCAAGTCGCTCCTGACACACACAAAAACTGAACCATATGTTTGAAAAACATGTGAGAAGCCTCTCGCTTCTCACATGTCCCCCACAGGGAGCTGGAACTGATAGAGGGAGCTCATCCACGCTGTCCCTGGATTTGAACCTGCGACCTGTCAGTCTTCAGTCCTGCCGGCACAAGGATTTAACCCATTGTGCTACTGGAGGTTCCATGGTTGCAGGTCACTTATATATTTTTTGAAAAACCTGCAGGTTGCAAGTACCATGTAAAACAGGGATGAGGACCCTATGTCTTTTTAGAAGGCATTGGACTCTGCCTCCCCCCATCCGCAATTGATGGCATTGCTGTCTGAAGCTGATGGGAGATGGAGTCCTAACAATATCGGGAGGACAACTCAAAAAACCAAGAATGATTATATTCTATCCCATGAAAGAATTGCTTTAAAAAAATTAAACTTGTTTGCTATGACACGGGGACTTTATACTTTTAACGGTTTTATTATTTTATTTAATGTTATTTATGCTAAATGTTTTAATTGTTTTTTATAATATTGCAGGCATCAATTGTGCCATTTGTAAACAACCCTGAGTGGCCCTCGGGCTGAGAATGGAGGTATATAAATATGGTAAATAAATAAATAAATAAAATAAGTGTGCATTATTGAAAGAAAGAAAAATGATTCCTCCAAAAGTTTCATTTTTTACTCATATGCAAAATTGGGGCTGCTGTTAGCACAGTGGGTTAAACTGCCAGCTACAGAGAATCTTGCTGACTGGAAGGTTGGCAGTTCAAGCTACAGGTCGGGTTGAGCTCCTGCCATCAGCCCTAGCTTCTGCTTACCTAGCCGTTTGAAAACTGCAATGTGAGTAGATCAATAGGTACTGCTTTGGCTGGGAGGTAAAAGGCACCCCTAAAGAATTCATGCTGACAATTCGATCAGGAAGTCGTCCATGGACAAGAAGCTTCTCAGCATGGAAAATGGAACAACCTCCTCATGGCCATGTTGAGCACAGCCTCCAGATGCTGGAAATGAAAAACAGGGAAGCCTTGGCTCTGTCTATCTACTGTCTGTCTTTGTAAATTGTATAACAGCATTGAATGTTTGCTATGTATTGTTTTGAGTCCCCTCAGGGAGACAAAGTTGAATATAAATAAAGATTATTATTATTATTATTATTATTATTATTATTATTATTACTATTACTATTATTATTTATGAAAAGGTTAACTGTTAATCTGTAAACCAATCAACTAAAACCTACATTAGTAGTCAAACATTATGTTTTTAACAATGGGGGCAGACCATTTGGGTAGAAATGAAGAAATAAACATTGACTTGAATCTACTGTCAGTCCACAAACAGGAGAGATTCGTTGAAATAATGGGATTTACATAAGTCCTCATCACTGCTAACTCCTCATTCAATGACTGCCTCAAGGATTCAGAGCACTCATACTGTAATAAGTTACTCTTTCTGTTTAAACTGGGGAGGAAAAGGATGTCTCATTGGGCTTTGCCGGATAATTTAGAGACCCAAAATCATTAAGGACTAATAGACAATACAGTACCTGTAGTTGATTCCAAATGTATAAGGATTTGATTGCTTGTGTCACAAAAGTTTTATGCCACTTTTACATTGCAAGCAGATTTAAATTTTAGTAACTAAAAAGAAACACACACAAAGGAAGGGGAAATCATATATGTGGAAACCTATGACATCTCATTATGGTTGAAAATATTCATGTTTGAGACAAATGTGATCCTCATGCAAAAGGTAAGACATGGATCATGCAGGCATAAAATAAAGGCATAGGACAAAAATACAGATGTAAAGGGTATCAAAAGTAATTTTGGTTGCAGGCAAGTAGATGGGAACCAGCATGCAAATCACACCAGTTGAATGGCATACGAAAGCTAATGGATATCATGATGTGCTCCTTTGTCTTTTTTCCCTCTTTGATGATCACATTTTGTCCAAATAATTGTCATTTGGCTACACAATATTACAACACAGACATGTATTCACCATAGTTTTCTTGCAAAAATGTTTCATATATATGACCAGAACAAATCTATAACGGTCTCTTGCTGTAGGTCTTTTCCTTTCGAAGATGCATAATTTCAACAGATTTATTTATAGGCAAGCCATAGGGTACTAAGAAATCCCCATAGTCATCAGATTTTTATATACTGATGTGGTCATTCTGTGATCTACCCAACAATTGACAATCAAAACAAATAAACCAACAAAAAAGGCACATTTCAAATAAAACTATTTTTTGTTTGTAATTTTTTAAAAATTCTCAGAGCGGTAAAGTAAATGTTGAGTTAGCTTGGGTATTTGGATCAAAGGTTCTGGAAGAGGATCCACATTTCAACTCCTTCACTGAGACCCTGAAATAGCTGCTCCTAAAATAAGGATGAGTAACTTGAGACTCCCAATGTGGCCTTTAAGTACCCAGATTACCACTCTCAATGGCACTATTGTTGGTGGTTTCTCAAAGTTTGTAGGATGAAGTGGTTTCCATTCCCAAAGATTATAATATAAATTAGTTACTTGTAGCAAGAGCTTCAACCTTAAATTATGGTGGTAATTTTGGACACTCCCCCTTCCTCTTTGACTTCACCAGTGCTGGAATGTAGACCCCAAACTCAGCCTGAAATTGAATTTGATCTTTAAGCTAAAGGGTGTTTTCTGCCCTGATCTAGAATTCTGAAATACATAGATCAGTGGTTCTCAACCTGTGGGTCCCCATGTGTTTTGGCCTACAACTCCCAGAAATCCCTGCCAGTTTACCAGCTGTCAGGATGTATTGTCGAAGGCTTTCATGGCCAGAATCACTGGGTTGTTGTGAGTTTTATGGGTTATATGACCATGTTCCAGAAGCATTCTCTCTTGATGTTGCACCTGCATCTATGGCAGTCATCCTCACCAACCTCTGAGGATATCTGTCATATTTGAGGGGCAAAACATCAGGACTGAATGCTTCTGGAACATGGCCACACAACTTGGAAAACTCACAACAACCCAGCTGTTAGGATTTTTGGAGTTGAAGGCCAAAACATCTGGGGACCCACAGCTGAGAACCACTGACGTAGATGTTTATATTTTGTAAGCCCACATCAAATTCTATTATAGTAATGCATTAACCACAACCCGCTGAAATAACCTATTGCACTTAGTCTTCAGAAACTGCTTGTGGTATGTTCCAGAAAGGCTGCATCTGGTACAAAAAGGTTCTCCACATCTAGATGGACACTGAGAATAGGGAAAGCATCATATCCGTGCATCACTGTCCAGGTTCACAAATACAATACTGTGGGTAGGGTTGTTGGCAGTGAAATGTTGATTAGCCAAATGATTTGTGGATCCTTGTATACACTGTGAGAATTAGTATGTTGCACTATTTGAGAGTTGGATCACGACAATAGGAGATCAGTGGGTGACTTCAGACAAGTCTATCTCTCAGCCTCAGAGAAAGGGAAGCCCTCTCTGATCCAATCTTGCCAATAAAACCTTGGCATAAGTTGGCCTCAGTGGCACCATAAGCCGGAAATGACTTGAAGGCACACAACAGCAGTGGCAGCATTGCTTGTTCACTATTGCACTGATTTATTCAGTTACGCCCCACATGGTGTAATGATTTGAACATTGGACCCT